ATCAATTTTTTTTACATATAAACTGTCACAGTGCAGTGGTAAAAAAATATGTTTACCTGTGTCACTGTTCATATTTTTCATTTATGGTATTTTCAAATACATGAAAAAATTTATTTCATCATAAGTCTAGATGGCTTTCCTCTAAAAGCATTGGAAAAACATAAACATAATCCTCAGACTTACGGAATTATTGGGGCAACCTTCCCAGGCTGAAGCAGATCAATGTTTTTACTTGTAAGGAATTTGACAAGAATGTGAAGCATTTGTTTTATATTAAGACCTGTTGAAACCCCCATTTTTCTGTATATACAGACACTGATGTACAGCTGTATTTGTCTGTATATACAGACACTTACACTGTATTCTGATCCACTGTTTCAGATGGCAGTTCCTGTCATACACATACGTGGTTGCTCTATTATAGCCAACATATATACCTATTTGACTTGATGTTTGGTGTAAGTTTTTTATTGTAAAAATACATATTAAGTTTTTTATGCCCACTAGGGTATTCTTCCATTATGCCTACCAAGATACATATAGCAACTGTAAATGTCGAAAGTTACTCCCAAAGATTAATTTTGCATATGGTTTATCTATCACATAATGTACAAGCAGCTGCATACATGTACAAGAGTGGTTGGTGTGCAAAAAAAGTTCATGTAAGTATTGATGTTCTTCAAAGAGAGAAAAATTTGTATAAAAAGTGTTATTTTTATCAGTAATTTCATTTTGTACATTAGCTATATAACTTCTAACATCTTTCCTTTAATTCTTTAAATTTACATTTGGTTTGTGCACTTATGCTACAGAATTAAGTGCTTATTTGCTCCAAGCATGGGGCTCTATGTGCCAAGAACGTCAGTTTGGAAAGCACTACAAAAGTGACACTCAATACATAGTGAATGTGAACTGTTGTGCACAGTAGGCTTTTTGGCAGAAATTCATATGAGAAAAGAGCATACTTCTGTAGAAAAATAGATTGGGTAAATTTTGTCAGTTTTTTTAAAATTTATTTTCGTTTTTTGGGATATTTTTTTATAACCACACTCGCTATTTTGTCATTATTTCTGTCCCAAGTCTCCTCCAGTTTTTCTGGTTGATGGACTTCTCAGCAATTTAAAATAATTCCAGTTAAAACATGTATCACAATGAGAAACAAATGAAACTGATTAGCTAACTGACGTCAAACTGCTTTTGCCGTTCGTGATGGAAACAGAGAGGATGGTGTTGAATGCCTTGATGGAGGAAGTATGCCTCTGTGAGTTTAAACCTTAGTCAGAACCATTGGTTAGTTTTTGTCCTACATGGACCTGAATGCTTAGATTTTATATTGACTTAAAATCTGCAAAATTAAGAAGAGAAAGGTAAACTTTTCTCCAAAAATATTGAGAATATGAAACTACTCCAATTTATTTTCTCCCAACAACCATCACTTTGATAATATTAATTTTTGTCTCTATAGGCCCATCATAATGCAGAAATATTATTAAAAATTGAAAAAAAATTAACCTTATGTAATTTTATGTGTGATGTTTACAGTATAATCTTAAAGGTACATTTCTCAAAAGGTCTTTTACTCTGAAAGTCCACTGTACTAACTTGCTCCAATCTGTAAACATTAACAGTCTTGCCTCTCTATACTTTAAGTAACATTTAAGAGTAGGATTCCCTTACACAATGGACCTTTGGATGAATGAACACTGCTAAAAGTTATGGGGTGACAAACCTTAGGAGCAGAGGCATGTCAGAGTAATCATCACCTCCTAAAGTAATGAAAGAAATAGAAAAAAGAACAGAATGCAGATTGTGAAAAAAAAACATATTACAGTAGTTTAAATGGAAAGCCATAAAGCATAGTGCTTCATTTAAGAGGAGTTTGTCGGGAATAAAGAGAATTAACAGTTTATCCTAAGAGATATGTGAAGCACATAAGATGCACCCCTAGATTAATAAACGATTCAAAACAATGAACCGTATAATGGTGTTGAGTTCCCAGTTGGCCTCAAAACTGTGACTTTATTGTCTAGACAAGGGTTTTCCATTTAACTCTTTAAGAGTTTAAGAGAGAGAGAGAGAGAGAGAGAGAGAGAGAGAGAGAGAGAGAGAGAGAGAGAGAGAGAGAGAGAGAGAGAGAAGGCATGCAGGAGGAATAATTGCACAGCAGGTTATGCCAATGGAATAGAGATAAACTTTGTGCTGGTGATAACAGTCTGGGTGTGCTTGCCAGTCAAATGCCCCTGGCTGGTATTTTCTTAAAGTGTCACCAAGAAAAAGATTAACAATGATCCTTAACCTCAGCTCGAGGAATGCCATTTTATAATATACCTGAAAATTTGATACAACATTTGAATGATAAACTTCGATGTATCTTACTCCTTGTCAAGGAGTACCTGTAGGGCAAAATGCCATTTGACAAATTGTGTATCAGTTTACTGTTTTATCTGATTATGTACATAATATGATGATAACTGGGGGGTTAACTGTATAACTTTCACCGGAGATGATCTTGGAAGGAGTTCAGAATTTAAAGGATTGGGTGACTGTGTGTGGTATTCTGATTCTTTTTATTCCTTGTCACATGCAATACTCATGAATTGGAACCTGAGTAGACTGCAGTTAACTTACCATAGCCATTTAAAGTTAAATCATTTAACAAGTGGGTATTGCTACTGTCGCTACTGTATATAGAAGGCAGCGATAGCAAACATTCACAGTATCGAATTTTAAGGAAAAAGATGACAGATTAGACTGATGTTATATCAAATAAGGTAACTTGCTTATGTTTCTATCCTCATGTGCTGTCTTACTTGATCTTACTTGGTTTTTTAGGAGGGCTGTTTACCATTAGGTGCCGTTAACAAGGGCTCCTCCCACCTTGAAAGTTGATTTTTACAGGTGGCTGATTGCTACTCACACCATTGCTGAAAGCATGGGAACTGATACCACTAGTGTGTAGAACTCTTTCTGCCCTTGTTGCAGACTATTTTAGATTGTTGCATAAATATTTGGATGACCTCAGGAAAAACAAATTAGTGATTACACGTCTTATAAACCTTGCTGCTAGGTTATTTCTCACTAGAGGTCAGTTTATTAAAAGGGTTTATTAGCTCTGCTTTTTGCCTGCAATGCAAAGCATTTTGCAGGCTAATCGGTTGTTTGCTCGATTTTTGACGACGATGGTTGTGCAGGTAGGGTGGCCTGTTATATGGCTTGTTGTAAAATTGTATGTTATTCCAGCATGTTGATCTGAATGCAGACATGATTCTGAGAGGGTGGTTTCAGTGAGAAAAGACAAGAAACACTTTGGGTGAAGACATTCTTCTGTAATCAGTAAAAAAAAAAGATTTACTGAAGTTTGAATTTCTTGCATTATGAGGTGCACATGTAACAGTTCAATTATTTTTTAGGTATGAATTTTTTTCCTTTTTGTTTGCATACTAATTCAGAACCTTAATATTATTAAAACAGACTATTTGAATGCTACCCATAGGTTTCATTAGGAGTGATTCATTCATAAATACCTTGATTTTTAATATTAAATCCACAGTAGTGTGACAGTGCTACATTATAGTAATTCAGAATACATTACATTTTTACAAAAATAAATTATTTCATGGAAGTGTATATATAAGTTTCCTATATAAAAACCTATTGCTTAATAGCTGCAGGGCCAAGCATGGCCTCTATGTCTTCATCCTCTAATATGATAGTATTATTGATAAGATCATTACTTGATTATCATTAGTTATAATCAGAAAAATCTATGGGTCAGATTAAGGCCCCATTCCCATACCTAGATGGATCTAGCAGCATTGACCCATCTCCAAGGGGTTTCTCACTAAATTACATTCAGCTTATGTGGCTCTGATGACTGGCATTAAGCAGGGGCGGATTTAGGCCGTCTTCTGGGTCTTCCGGAAGACGGTCAGATTTTAAAGTTTACAATGACGGGTATCTAATATTTTCTGTCGGAAGACGGTCAAAAATGGAGGATGGATTAACAAAAATAATTTGAAAGACTGTCAGAAAATATCTCTGGATCCGCCCCTGTTAAGGGGTAATTAACTGTCATTTAGCTGCTTCAGTAGGTTAGCCAGACATCTAAGATCGCATTCACAACGAGTTGAGCCAGGCTTTACAAATCCTGGGGACTAAATATGGCGGACGTACAAGAAAGAAAAACTGCCTAATCTTTTAATAGTCTCTCTGCCTCTCACACGCCTCCCCATGTGTTGTCCCAATGGAGCCGAGATTTAATGACTGTCCCCCCACAGGGACGACGTGTGGGGAGGCGTGTGAGTGGCGGAGAGACTATTAAAAGATTACGGTAATTCTCCAATCTATACGAACGATTTAAATTAATTATTTTTGGAAGAAAATCATTTTGTTCGTAAGGCTTGAAATTCAGTCTGCTAAAAATTGCCACGCGTTCGTATCCATTGAAATACGAATGGAATACGGCTGTACCGGAAGTTATCTCCACTTGCCTACATTACTAAGTGTAAGCATTTCTTTCAGATTAAATCACTGTGATCAGCTTTTAGCACAAACAAATTATTCTTGCGATATTGCAATGAATAAAAACAAACTAAACAAAAGTCGGGAATTCAACATGCAAGTTAAGAAACAATTTCTTCATACTAAAGAGGTACATTTCTCCCAAGACAAGACAACATCGTTTTTCCCAACTTCTGTCAAAAACAGACAAGAATTTTTGCGTATCCAGTTGCATATTTTATTTAATGCGTGTTTACTTTTAATATGATTTCACATATAGAAAAT